ACATGCGTAAATGAATAAAATTAATTCTGATAAAATATTCTCATTAAACGAACAACAATAAAATATTAGTTCATTATTTCGAAAGAGTTAAAACAAATTTTGTATTCGATTAAAGTATTTCAAATATCTCAAATAAATAATCTATTGCTGAAAAATATTTAAAGAGTCGAAAAAGAAAATCTTTTAAGTTTTTCTCATAATTCAATTGAACTAAAATAAAAATTCAATTAGGGAGAAAACATTTATCTCAACGATGATCTAAAGTGAATATTGAACTATACAGGGGAAAAATTGAGACTCCGCCTGCGTCAAAGATTGCCACAGACTTTATTCATATATAATTATACATCGTATACGAGTAATATCTCGTTCTAATATATGAACAATCTGGCTATTTAATATATCGAGAATAAAATAAAACAATGTTGAATAAATCTATCAGAAAATCTCGTAGGGATTGTCGGAATTTTAAATGTCAACAATAAAATATTTGAAGATGCTTAAAATGTCTATTGATTTTTATGAAAATCTTCTCTAATTTGAATAAGGTGGAAAAAAGTAAAATATCGGATAAATATGTGTTTAAATTTAAGATTCGAATCTAATTTGTACTTGATCTTAAAGGTTCTTCATGTTTGATAATTAATTTTTATCAAAATAATCTTGGGCATAACGTTGTAAATAATCAATTTTAACTCTTTGGCTTTTATCTCGATTAATTAAAACTCGACTTAAATGTGTTAAATTGAGCAAATGAGCGATACTCATTTGTTTAGCTGATTCATTTTCAATTTGATTTAATTCATATATCGAATTTTGAAGAATACCTAATGATATTAATGATGATATACGATTTAATTCATGTATTGATGACTATGAATCGATTTTATTATAAGACATATAAAGATATTTTAATGATGGAAACAATTCGTTTGAATCATCTTATATAAAAAGGTAATTTTTCTAATTATTTTTAAATTATTTTCTTTAAATAACATACCTTGATCAGGTAATTTAATTTGACTAAAACCACAATTATTCAAAATTAATTCTTGAAGATATTTAAGCATTCCTAATCGATTAATAAATGGATCCCAATGTTTTAATGTTGGATTATCTGATAATGATAAATTAGTTAAATTTTTAATTTGATTAACAAAATTTTCTCATATTAAACTTATATGATTTAAATCTAAATGAATATTAATTGAATTTGGAAAATATTTAAAAATATTTTCAAATAGAAGACAATCATTTTCTGTATCAATAAGAACAATTTGTTTAATATATTGAAATCCTTTTGATGGATATTTATCTATATCCATTCGAGAATTACTAACATTTAAAATTTCTAATCGAGGAAAATATTTTTCGAATATTAACTATAATTGAGACCAATTTTTA